AGTAGAGACAGGGTTTCACCATGTTGACCAGGATGGTCTTGATCTCTTGACCTCGTGATCCACCCGCCTCGGCCTCCCAAAGTGCTGGGATTACAGGCTTGAGCCACCGCGCCCGGCCACATCCAGGAATTTTTAAAAAATTTTAATATAGAAAAAGAAAATCTGTCACACAAGTGCTAAGTGAGAATAATACATTAGCAACTGTACTATTTATAGATCACATGGTTCTGAAGCAACTGATGCCTGGTTTACAGCTCTGTTCTTAATTATACTTGATCTACGACATCCTTTGTCTCTCTACATGACAGTATCTTAGATCTTGATCTGCTGCTTTCATAGCAGGAAACATCTTTAAATACAGACTTTGAAAATACCCATCAAATGTGGCATGGGGCAAGTTGGCATATCTAAGAATACCATTTTGGAATTTGACGTGAAATGTTGAGTTGTAACTAATGAAGGTGATACAACAATAACATTTATGAGCACTTATGTGCCACATATGGTTCCAAAAGCTCCACATGAGTTAATCTCCATGCTAACTTCAGGAAGTTAGTACCATCATTATTCCCATATTACAGAAGAGGAAACTGAGGTGTATAAATCTTTTATCACTTGCCCCAGAGTCACACAATTGGTGAGCAGAGAAGTCAGAAACTGAATTTACAAATATTCCTAGTTGCGAACGTCACTGTTTTTAAGAGCATGACAAGTTTCTGCAACCTAAGCCTGCTTCAACTTTGTATTTAAAATTAGTAGTGCTTGACTCTCTTAAGTGATATCACAATGTGTCCTTCCCACAGCTTGATGCTTGAAGATTATTTATTTAACTCATCAGATGCTATTGGCTTCAATAACATCTTTTTTTTTGGTTATCCTGCTACAATTTTTGTAATACTCATTTTTAGCTTCTGGGGCTTTCTTCAATTTTTCCTTTTATGATAATGTAAAAAAAGAAAGAATTTAAATGTGACAGACCATGAATGACAATTAAAAGGTAGTTGCACATTAACTGGTAAATCTGTGGAAACAAAGGTAAATTTTTCGCTTAGGGCTGGGTAGAGAGTGGGAAGTGACAGCCAATGGGTATGGGCATCTTTTAGGGGAGATAAAATGTTATAAAATTAGATTGTGGTGATGGTGGCATAACTCTATGAATATAGTAGAAAACACTGAGTTGTATCCTTTAAGTGGGTGAATTGTATATTATGTGAATTATATCTCAATAAAGCCATTTCTTTTTAAAAAGGACCCTCTCCCCAACCTCACATCATGGACTGAGAAGAAACAATTGTAGTAAGTTTATAATTTTATTTGGTGTAAATAATTTTTATCTTTAATCAAATGAGAGTAAGCCACTCATTCCAACCCTTGCAATCAATTAGATGTACATGTATTTTGTTTATTTGACTTTGTCTCTGATAAACGAATACCTTTCATGTTGTGACAGACATTAGAACACCAATACCAGGAGTTGCTATTACTCAGAAGTCTCCAGGTTGCTAGTCAAATGGCACGAAATTGCCCAGCCTGATCTCAAGATGTAATGGCATTGATGAACTGGCTTAAGATAAAATACATACTTCATGAAAGAAGGAAACAAAACAAAAAGCTCAAATCCTTTTTCTACTCAAATCCCATGTTCTTAAAGACACATGAGTGAATCTTGACATAGATTTATCCTTCTCATCCAGAAAACTTTGAAACTAGGGACATGTTTTAGTTTTTCCCCTCATGATCCCGTTCTCATTTCTCAAGCTTTCAAAGTTTCATAGTTCTAAAATGTCATCTTAGTGATATGAGTATTCTCTGGGCAGAATTTAGGTTTACATTTATACTGAGCTCAGATACACCTTTTCTGTGACCTCCTTTTGGTTTTACACATGCTGTTTCCCTCTCTTGGTTTCTCCTCTAAAATAATTATGTTTTCCTGGGAAAGTTGTTACTGTACATTCGGGTCTCTACTTTGTATTATACAAATCTTGTTTTCACACACATAAAAAGAGAACTTTGAAAAAAAAATGAGGTAAAAGAACAAGTAATAATGTAACAAAGAGGGGTTAAGGGAAAGATAACAGTTGGCTTGAGATATATGTGTTTACATAAATATGTCTACATGAATGCATGTATACATGTGTGTCTATAACATTGCCT